CATGATTTGATATTTTCACTCTGAATATTACTTGTTTTGGAACATATTCATTTGCTATATATATATATATATATATATATACGCGTGAGCTTGGTTTTGAAGCTATGTAGTTATTATTGGTTTTTTTATTTGATTTGCTTTCATTTACTTTACCGTTTGATTGGTTTACCATTTGGATTTGCAAATCAAAGCTTGTACATGTTTACTTTCATTTGCTTTATTACCATTTTATAATTGGTTGTAGAGATCGAGTGGATCGAAGCACATTTTTAAAACACTAAAGACTCATTTGGCGCGCATGATTTGATATATAAGATTACATTTGATTGGATTATAACTTAATCGTACTATCCTATCTATGTTTAGCGGGTTGGATTAGTATTAGTAATGTTTTTCTAATCTTATATATTGAACCCTTTGAATTCAAGATTTTTGTTTATTTCAGACATGAAATTATTAAATAACATTAATTTATAAAATTAACTTTAAAATATATAAAATATTTTAATAGATTATTTTTGGAGTTTAGAATTATTATTAATTTTTTTTTTTTTTTTTTGTACTTCAGAATTAGCTAGATTATTTTGGAATTTGGAATCGATTATCCCTAGCTAGATCTAACACAGAGAGAAGCGATGTGTAAACCAAAGATCTAACAACATTGGGTTTCGAGTAGAGAGAGATTTTAACGGATTATCTCCTGAGATTTTTCGAGCAGATATCAAATATATAATGTCATAATGGACAAGAGCTACGTCATAAACTGAACTAGAATAGGATTCACATTTCACAGAATTGAACGTCTAAATAAGGCAGGAATCTTTCCAAATTAAATAAACATGTCGTTTTTTGTTAGCAATAAATAAATAAATAAACATGTCGTTTTTTATTTAAAAAAAAACTAGCAAAAAGGGAAGAAATCAATAGGATCCATAAAAGACTAAAATAAAAAGGGAAGAAATCAGAAATACCACTCAAAATAAAAATATAAAAATGTCACTTCACTTAAAAATAAACAATTGTCATTTAATTAAAAAATAGAAAATAAAAGACCACAATGGCACTTATTTATTTGAGGTAAAACCAAAAATATTATTAATCATGCGAAATATCATTTTTTACAATGACACTTATTTATTTATAATAACATAAATAATAGATATGTATAACTTTTCTCAAATATAAAAGTGCAACCAAACAAGTAAAAATGCGCGGAATGCTATAGATTCACTTACTCATATTGTCCTACACCACAAAAAGCAGCTTGATGTCTTTCAATTTTTCACATATTATTTACCTTCTTCTCAATTAGTTATTTAGGATGAATGTTGTTATTGGTCCTTAAACTCTCTTCTCTCGCTACTAATAGTCTCCCAAGTTTTATTTTAGGGTCATTCATCACTTAAATAATACTATTGAGGCGACATTTTGTTTGATGAAATACTGGAACAAAAAATAAGAATAGAAATAAGTATAGATATATAACAGAATGAGAGTATGAAAATATAAATAAATTACATGATTTATTATTGGAATAATTAATATGAAAATCACAATTATTTGGTTGAGTTAGTTCTTGGAATGAAATCGAATGATAATTATTTGACAAAAATACCATTCATTTCATTGTGATGGTACTTTACAACTAAACTAAAATATGGTCTAAAGTGATAATCTTTTTTGATTTCTAACTAATAATGAAATAATTAAGTGTGTATTATTCTCATAATAGCAAAGATGATATCAATTTTATACAAAAATAAAAAGAAGTTATATAAAAAATATATAAATCATCAATACCATCAAATGCATAAAAAGATATCCAATATAATAAGCGAGTTGCAATGGGGTTAATAGATTCAAATAAGTTTCCATATGAGGTTAGTCAAATGGGTATTTACAGTAAATAATAGAACATTGAAATGGGTAATTTAGGGAGATAGAATTTCAAATAATATCAGTTTCAAAGTGATGATTCCACCTGTGACCTGTCCATTAAATGTTAGAACAGCAAATCCATTCTAGCTACTTTTTAAGTCCTTAATTTTTCTAACCAAACGTAAAAATGATTGAATTTTAAGAATTATTATTCTATTTCAATAATCATTCCATCAAAATCAAACTTAGTGAGCATATAGTAAACTTTATACACATAAAAATTTTTTTTTTTTTGAATAACACTTAAAGGTTTTTTATATGGCTAAAACAAAAAACCTATCTATTTTCTGATCAACTCTCAAAAAAAAAAAATGACAAAAAAAAAATGCAAACAAATAGAAAACCTATCACTAATTATATGATGTGTCCACTTAAATATATCTATTTCTGTAGAGAGTCCACTTCATGATTTGGGAAATTGAGATTTCAAGCCTTTTTTTTACAGTTACAATATCAATCAATTCATTTTCATTTAAATAGCACTAACCTAGTATGGTCGATCAATGTCATTTAAAACCCTTATATTAAAACCCCCACTCCACTGTTTACATCAATCATTGTCATTTTAATTTATTAGAGATTGAATTTGTGGTGGCTTAGTTGCAATTAGCATGCACATACCGTCGAGAATACAAAACTATTGTTGGCTCAGTTCCGAATAACTTAAGCTTTTACGAAAATTGATTGGCTAACATGGGTATTAAGGGCATTTTTAAGTGATACCTCATTCGTACTAACAAGGGAACTTTGAGTAATCTTGATGCAACTAACATTCAAGAATGGTTCTGCAATTCTCATACCGGAACACCAGTGCTCACCTACGCTGGGTGCTCTTCCGGCTGAGTCGAATTTAGAAGTAGAGCTTGAGGGTATCAGAAGGGCTGTTGTAACTGGTGGCTGCTAAACAGTGGAGAGGGGTTGTCATTGAAGGGGATTGTGAGGTCCTTTTGGATGCTCTAAGTTTGAATAAGACTTATTCTGACTGCACACTTTATGCTTAATTCTTTATCTGCTGTCACAGATGTAATGTCTAGTCTGAAAGGAACGTTTATGCTTAATTCATTATGATTTGTGCGCTTGGGCAGCCGCTGTTGGGGTTCGAGAATTGAAATTCCATTGTTGTCATTTTATATTTATATAATTACAATTATCTACATTCCCAATGTGCCTATGATGTAGCACTGGACAGACCGTTAGCGGGAGTATATCATCTTACGAGAATAGAGTATGGTACAGAACAACCAGAATTATGCACAAAAGTAATTGCCCAACCTTAAAGTTGATGGTTTGGCACTCTGGCTGCAAGTCTTAAGGTGTTTATCTTTGCTCGAATTAACCTCGTTTAAGGTAATATAAAGACAATTTCCAGTAACCTAACTTTAAGATACTAGCTGGGTTTCTGTTGTGTTCAGTAAACAAGTATAGGTGTTTAATTAGCTCGCTCGAGCATTTGCCCATTAATCCATTGCACAAGAACTAGACATTTGACATGAGAAGGACTGGAATTCAAATCAAATCATCTCTGCAGCAATAAATAATACAATTATAAGATATAAAGACAAACAGAGCCACAGAGAGACATGACATACATTATGCTTCCACAAAATTATGTCCCAGAAGTCTTATTGTCTACTAAGCTATAACAGCAGTACATTGCAAATTTTCTTTTTGGTATCATTACAGATTACAACTCAAGTATAGTATTCCACAAGTCACTTATTGATCACCCTACATGGGGTAATTTACACGCATTCAATAAATATGCTGGCTAGCTCCCTGTCTTCCCTGTCAGGAATGAGGCATCAGACAAACACTACAGTAAACCCTTATGAAAATAGGGCGGGCGCGCTATGTTGAGGCTTTTACATATAACAAGTGCAAATGAAACTGACGACTAAACATCACATATAATTTACTCCCAGAAGTTCAAGACACATCAAGGCATATACAGCAGGCCTTGACCTGCAACCAGCATCCTCTCCATGGATCAGCTTCAGAAATCGAAAAGCCAAACAAGTCGAAACGAGTTAGAATTTCTGATTCGAGCCAAATGCTTGAATGCAAAATAGCTGCCTCATCTGGTCCCACTGGAGTATGTTTCTGCAGTAGCAGGCGAAAATCTTAAGAAGTCACCTGCTGTTAGTGAGAAAAAAAATAAAATCAACCTTGGTCTAGAATTAAAGGCAATTTTGATCACAACGTAATATATATATATATATATATATATATATATGGTAGGAGATCACAAAGTATACCACATGCAAATCTGGAACCTCTCATGAAATTTAATTTTTCACATTTGCCTTTTCTGTAGTGCGCTTAGCGTTCCTCTGTCGCTTGCGCTGATCGACACTGAGTAAGCCAGGCCTCTTCCTCAGCTTTCCGAATTTTAAGTCTTCTCCTCTAATCATGTACTCATTCCCTGCTTCTGGCATGCTAAAGTCAGCTGGGTTTCTGTTAATACTGCAGATTGAAGACTCGGGACTGATTTTTGGAGGCCAAAAGGTGCCATTATTATGAGGGGTTCCCAGCTTGAGTTCTGTTGAATTCTCTGTAGTGTGAAGTTGCAAAGGGCACATCATAGAACTAGACGCACCAAGCAAACCTTTCTGCAAACCATGACCAGGAATGGCATTGTGATTTGTAGCTAAACCACCACTTGCAAACATGGGATTTAGAGCTTTGTGGCCCCTATTCTGTGCCGGTAAACTGGAGCTTTGCACTTTCTCTTTCCTTCGAGAGCTGAAGGAAACTTGACCCATAAAGTCATTAGGCCGTCCGAAACCTTTATCATGATGAAATGAGGAAGAAGAGGGACCACCAGTTGGATTGAGAGGGAAAAAGTCATGGGATTTCTCAGGAAGTTTATTTTTACCATAATAATCAAGTGGGTATTTCGTAGTATCACTAGGCTTACTATAAACACCAAGTGGGTTTTTCATAATATCACCAGGTCTACTATAAACTCCAAATTCCAGCTGAGAATACTCCTTAGAGTTGTGATCAAGAGGACAGGTCCTCTTGAGGAATTTCGAGTTTCCCCCAGTATTGAAGGCTGGACCTGACTGCATCCCTGCATCCATGAGGCTGAGCAGATGCATTGCAGGTATGGTTTCATTAGAATACAGATCTAGAGATCCCATCAAATTTTGTTGAGGCTCAAGTCCGTTATGTTTGTTAGCAAATGGATACTCTGCATTTCTTCTGCTAAAAGTTTCAGAACCACTGTTTTGATTATGCTTTTCAAGGCCGCCTACGTTAAGATTCAAAAACCCTGGGTCATGCTTCCTAAGAAAATTGAAGTTAGTAGGCTGAGAGGCCACCTTTTGGGAAACATTATAACTTGTGGGCATGTGAAGTGGTATCGTTGAGGACCAGAGATGAGCTGCTTCTTCCCTTGGCCGTGAAACAATTGGGCATTTCTCACAAGGTCCTAACTGCATGCTAGCATTAAGAAACCCATGTCCTGCCATATCCTGATTCAATTTGCAATTTTGAGCACAGCTACATTGGCTAGAACTAACAGGATACTGAACGCCACTTGAAGACTTCTTCTGCCCCAAATGGTTGATGTTGAAATTGTCAGCATTTACATTAGAAATATAATCAACTGACTTTTGTTTGCCGGACTGAACATTTTTCCTTGACGAGTTTATGCCATTTCTGGCCCGGGGATTTCTTCTCTGACCGGTCTCCTCAATTATTCTAAGCTCCCCAGAGCCACAGACTCTATCATAATCTATCGTCTGATTGATCCTTCCCTCATTTGCTGTCTTTAACAGGCGGTTATTATTTTCAGCATTTTCTAGACGCCTCTCGTATTGATTCCTTGCCATGAGTTCAACAATCTCCATTGGAATGTCATCCCAAGCTCCCGAATCAGACACGTTGGCAGCTATTCTGTCAGCATGTTTCCTACTAACTGACGAATGATCCTTAACTAAAATTGCTTTCTCACAGTTGCTTGCACCAGAAATATCCTGTAAACAATTATTGTAATAAAAACTAGAAAGATTAAACCATCAATAACAGAAGTATAAAAGAAATTACTACATTCGAGGAAGAGGGCCAAAAAAAAAAAAAATCAGGACTTGATTAAAATTTTTATGGTACCGTATCAGCAAAAATAAAAGAGAATGCTAAGCAGTTCAGCCTGCATAAATTATTTACGATTTAGTACATGCCTCAACTAGGAAAATGAGTTACTTTTCAACAATTCCAAATCAAGTAACTGAAAAAAAATAAATAAATAAAAATGGCAATATGCACGCATTAACCCAAATGGAAGCCACACTCGATCGTGGCCAACACCATAAAGTTAGTGAAAGTTAGAATAGTTAAAAAAAAAAAAAAAAAAAAAAAAAAAAAAACCGGGACCAATTTTTTTTAGGTTAAAAAATAAAAAATAAAAAAAAAAAAAAAAAAAAAAAAAAACAGAACCGTGACCAATTTATCATGAGTTAAAGTATGAAAAGCACGGTAATTCCTTCATACAAGAAAAATGCACACATATTTTTCTATATGCACAGAATCATATTAATATCCGAAAAATACTTTTATAATCGAATAACAATGTAACAGCACATCATGCCACTTTAGAAAAGATCCAAATTAGAAATGCAGTCAAGCAGACATCAAAACCTGATAACTGATTGGATGCTCAAGTCAGAATATTTGATACGCTTTTCATTTTTAAGTTACAACCAAATATTCACTTTTTAAGAGCAATCTAACCCAACACAGAAATGAATGATAAGTACACAATCAGAGCAAGAAAAAAAAAATGATAAGTATACAAATTTCCATAACACAATTAGAAATGAAAATCCTGAGAAGGGGACGAAACAGATATAACATAATTTATATCATGCAACAATGTTAAAACAACGAGTCTAACATTATGATAAGAGAAAAGCGCATACCACTTGCTTCACTAGAGGATAACAACTCTCTTCAACCTGAGAGTTGTAATTTTGCTCCCCGCTTAAAACAGGCACATTATTTGCATCCAAGTTTCTACTGAATTCACCATGCACTCGTTTCTTGAAAAATGCATACGAAGCAGATTTAGAAGGGATGCTTGAATCAGAAATGTAGTTAGCATCAACATTTGTCCTCGGGATTTCATTGGCGTTGTACTTGTTTGTGGTAAAACAGCTTCCAAGAGAAAGATGCAGTCCTGTATCAATAGATGCATCTTCTGTCGCTGGAAAGGAAACTGGTAGAGGCCCAGTTTGCATGATTTCTTCATTTCTCATGGTTGTATGTTTTTCATGAAAACCACTGTTCCAAGGGAATTGAGGTGTTTGTCCATCATCAATATGTGCCATCTTGCTTTTCTTCTTAAACAAACTCAATTTCTTCTCCTTCCTTGAAGCAGCTAAAGAAATTTTCTCCAGCTCTCCTCTTGCGCATGCCTCTTGATAAAATTTGAAAAAAATACCATCATCAAGGTAACCTTTGGTTTGAGCCGCAACTCGATCCAGGATTTGTTTGGGCAAACTTCCTCTAGTTGGAGCCAAAGAAGAAGGTGCATCAATAGTTTGGTTTTTCTTTCTTTTTTTCTTCCCAGTACTAGGAATGTTGTCATTTCCAAATTTACTCACACAGTTCTTTGTACCATTCTGCAAGTACAATCCAGCAGATGCTTCTTGTTCTAATTCAGAAATCGCGACTGCATTGACAGCTTCTTCGTTTCCCTTTAAGTTATTAGACTTTTTACTTCTGTTGTTCAGAGAGCTCATCTCCGGGGATCTCCCTTCTTCATCCTGAGGCAATTTTCTTTTTTTATCATCACCCAAATCCTCTCCACGATTTTCTGGGAGAGACAACTGATCTTTGGGAACATTAACCGCTCCCGCCCCTGCAGATGCATCATTAATTGTAGCATTCGGAGGAGAATTTTCTGCACTAATGCGATCAGTCTTCGCATCTCCATTGTCGAATAGTAACTCAGTCAGCAAACGCACCTTCCGAGTTTTCCTACGCTGTGAACCACTTGACAGAGGGTGATTTTGATCCTGAAGACTATCTCCAGCTAAGATCTTAACACTCTTAGATGATGCATAATCCTGAAGACTATCTCCAGCTAAGATCTTAACACTCTTAGATGATGCATAATCCTGAAGACTATCTCCAGCTAAGATCTTAACACTCTTAGATGATGCATAATCCTGAAGACTATCTCCAGCTAAGATCTTAACACTCTTAGATGATGCATAATCACACTCATCTAATACCCGCGAAGCATATCCATTTGTCTGTCCCTTCACAGCTTTACCTGCCTCTTCATTCAAACAGGCTAAAGCTGATGCCCCAGAAGCAACCTTTAACTCCTTTTCTTGTTCATCCACAGACTTTTGTTTTTCTGTTTGGCAAATCTTGGAGCAACTCTTACACATGCCCATGTTTGCAGCAGGCTGAACATCAGTAAGCTCATGTTTTCCACAGCAATTCTTATAGGGATCCATAGGTTTGCTCCCTGCCAGCTTTAGAGCTTCTGTTTCAAAAATCATAGACATTAGGACGGTAATAATTTAATGGAAATTAACCTGTAAAACGATTTTAAAGGAATTGTCATTCATAAAAAATTTACCTGTGCACTGCTTAGGTTTCTCCTTAGACACATTTGAATCAATTTCTGGTGGAACAAAGGTTAATATGGGAATTTCATGAACAGCATCATTTTCTGAGCCATTACCATGTCCTAGAAAAAAACATAAAAATCAATAAATAAGAGAGATTCAGATTAGAATATAGCAACAATAATACTCAAAGAAACTGAACTCGCCCTCAAGTTATATATACCTATGATGGTAGTATGAGCTTCTGAAACCAACACTTCCTTCTTGTCACTACACGAAGAAAGTTGGTGGATATTCCTATTTGCATCAGTAGAAGTATAGACATCAGATTTTCTTTTCTCCACTTCATTTGGCTTTGGAGTTTGTTGATCATCTGGGAAAGGCATCACAGAATCACAAAGGGATGGTATCTGAGAGCAAGTGCTGCTGGATTTAGATCCAATACAAGAATTAAATCCTGCGACATTATCTTTTGCAGTGCCTCTAGAACTCATTTCCTGCAGACAACTTTGGCAAGACCACCATCGGAACTTTGGAGCATCTAAAGGGGGTAGCAAAGTCTTTTGCTCTTCAGACTTATTCTGTTCATCCCCTAAAGTGAACGGCCAACATAATTTCCAGTTTTTCCTACGAACTTCAGATACATATCCACTGCATTCACAACATAATAGAGAAACTGCTGTTAGTAAAACCTTCCATATATATTTCATTAAAAAAGAAAACCTAGAAGCCAATCGTTTATTATTCAGGGATAACTCCAGGGGGATGAGCCAAATATTAAAATTCTTAATATAAATAAAAATATGTTCTTGCAATGCCAGCTTTGAAGACCTAACATCAGTGAACCAAAAATTCAAACAAAGTTCCACCAGCACAAGAGTTGTTCAATCAAATTGTCACCTGACATCTTTGAAACAAAGCAAAAGAGCATAATTATATTCAAAGTATGGATATTCAAAGCATAGCTTGATATATAGGATATGAAGGAATAAGAAAAGAAAGGGAGAGAGAGAGAGGAGGAGGAGGCGGAGGAGGATCAGGAGAAGAGAGTAACAGTTCAGTTAGCATGTGCTCTCTCTTAGTCTCTCAATACAAGAAATATAACATATGTGAACAAAAGTGAAACACAAATGCACCCATGATTACATCAAAGCTGTATCATATGAGGCCAAAAATTTTAAAATTTAATAAACAAACAAACAAATAAATAAATAAAAAGAAACAAAGACAAAGAACCCAGAAAGTTCTTGATTAATTCTGTAAAATTTACAGCATAACCAAGAGGCTTACCGTATAGAGAAGTGCTCACACTTCTCCACATAACCCTTGTTATTAACATCTTCAAGATCGATTGATATTGAATCAATCTTAACGAATGATCCGACATTCTTGGAGACAGTATCTGAATCACCCTTTTTATTATTCATCATAATAGTGCCCCCCTTCATGTAAGAGCTCTTAATCAGCCTCTTAGCACTGATGACTTTTGATATACTTCCTACACACAATTGATGACCTATTAATAAGCATCATTATCATATGCCAATATATCAGTAAATCTTGAATAACTACAAGAACACTGAAAAGAAAGCAATGAACGAACTTATCACAACACAAGATGTTGGTCAAATTCCCAAACAATCAAGCTAGGGTTTTGGTCAACCACTAGAAAACCTCGGACGAACCAAATTAGCCAATCAAATTTGTAACGAAACAAACAATACGACTTAGGAAACCCCCACAGATGATGTTTTAGAACATAAAATAGCATCCCACCTTTTAGATATACATGTACATTACAAACCCTAATTTTCCGTTACAACAAATAACAAAACTTTGTGGTGGCTAATTTTATGTCTCACAAGCAATAGAACTACATATGCAGCTAAACCCACACATTGAAGTAGCCAAGCCAATCATAAACTAAGGCCAATAGGATAAAGACACATATTAGGGTTTCATTTCGACGAGACCGATATTGTAGCAACAATAAAAGTTGCGTGATTCTCGGGAGATAAAAATATATGCTATAAAATTGCACAAACCCACCTCAAGACTTAACCTTTACAAACCCCAAATAACAAAGAAAACACAGATATCCTAATCCACAAACAAATTATCCCTAGGGTTCATTTGGTCACAAATTCACACCCAATAAAGAACAAACCTCACATCCAAAATCACAATCACAATCAAAATAACACTCTCAATTGTCGCATAAACGCACAGATTAATCCTCCAGAAGAAAACCCAGATGAAGAAATGTAAAGGAAGCCCCAAACTTGACGTACTAAACACAGTAAAATAGCTCAAAATCTGAAACGAATCAGCTCAAAACTGAGCTAATTAAAGCTCGCACCGATAATCAACACCAATCGAATTGTAATCTACCTCAAAAACGGAACATCGGAGATTGATTAGATCGCGAAAACAGACCTTAAACTCAATCGAGCATCACATGAAACGACAGTACCAGCGTCTGGGCGAGCTCCGATTCTCCACGGCCCGTCGAGAAAACGACACTAAAGGAGAGAGAAACCCATCGCCGAAGACCCACGCCGAGCTGCGAGACGAGATTCGGAGCTGGCGGAGAAGAATTTGGGTGCGAACTTTGGCGAAACCCTAGAGTGAGAAAGAAAGGCTTTCGATCTTTTAGAGAGAGAATGGGTTAAAAAAAGAAGAGAGAGAGAGAGGGGAAAGAGAGAGGTTTTATCTTTTTCGTCTTGAAGAAGAGAAGAGGTTTTTGTTTGTTTGGTCCTGTTTTGTTTTTGTATTAAAAATTGGCCACACCATGCCATGTCATGGACATGCACACACCGTATCCTTGTCGCAAAAACATGTATTTATAGTAATGAGCTTACGTGGACTAATGGGTTTCTGACACGTGGAACAAATGTGCGGTTCTTATCACAATTCCATTAAGGAAACCCTAGAAGAGTGAATTTTGTAAGAAAAATATATTTTTTAAAAAAAGTTATGTCCCCACGCGTTTCTTACACGCTCTGTTCGCGTCACTTTGTATATATTTCGTTTTATCTTTTTTACCTGTCGTGTCAAAGAGGGAGAAAGATGCCTTTGCACATTAGTGGCTTCTGATTGGAGCGTGTTCCACACCGCCACTGGTGGGAGAGTGGAAGTAGCCAGATATAACCCTAATTTTTTTTTCTTGGTGAGTAATGAGCATCTATCTAACCCTAAGAGCTAAGATATCCTGGCCTGCCAAATTAAAAGAGTTGAAAAAGATAAAAAGAAAAACCTATCAGATTTTGGAGTAAAAGAAAATATGTGAATAGTAATTGGGGATTTAGGATGATGGAAAAACAGATTTTTGCATACCAAACAAGAATGTATGAATAACACAAAAAAATAATCATCTTTTTTTAGGCATGAGAGTGATTTATATATATGTTATCTTTGAAGTCGGAGATCTTGTGTTCGAAATTTTGTAAAATGAAAAAGGCGTGAGCATTTAACGAAAATAAGATGAGTGAAATAATTACATGCATTTTTTGGAAAAGTATATTCTATAATTTAATGATATGATAAAATAACCGTCTTCTTCCGTGTCGTAATGGTTGTGTTCATTGTCTTTGAAGTAAGAGGTCTTACATTCAAAACCTTGGAAGATAAAAAAGGATAACATTTATAAAAAGAATAGTGATACTATATACATTTTAGGGAAAAAAATTATTTTTATACATACATAGGTTTCGTTATTGATGAAAGAAAAATGTTCTTACTACAGTTTTAGTAGCAACTCTAGCTATATATGGAAATATTCCAGGGTTGGTGTGTTATCCATGAGCTCTATGAGCCACTGAAATATTCGGTACAAATTGATATCATTGTTATACACTTATATATTTATGTTTGTGTGTTTATATAATAACTCATGGCCGGCAGAGAATTTTGATTGACTGATCAAGTGAGTTAGAGATAATAATTCGGTGATATCAATGAAGAGAGATTAATTTTACGACCATTCCTAACAGATACATATGTAATATTTTCATTGCTAGTTTAACGGGTCTTTTTTCGGCTGACATGTATGTATTGACTTAGTAGGTTATTATTAGGTAATTATATATAGCGTCACGAGGCATCAAAAGTGAGTTACTATTGAAATTGATGATCGAAATTTCTAATGGAGAGAAAAAAAATTGAAAAAGAAGAAGAAAAATAATTAAAGCTTAATTATAAGGAATTGGAAATAAATAGGACAGGCATATTGAAAGGGATGCATATATAATGGTTAGCCTTATAATGTGGGGAGGGCCCTCTCACCCCTATAATATTTTCCTGTAATCATGGACGTTCATCCAAAAGAGCGTCTTTAAAGAAATGTTTAGTAGGGAAGTGTTTCCATGACTCAAGATTCCTGTCTGCAGCCTATATTTCCAACATAAATATATATATATATATATATATATATCATCGTAAACAATAATTCAGTAATCGACATGTTTTTAGTGTTATTTTGATTGGGACTTCTAAATATGTGGTAGTAATGGTACCATATCCAAAGCGCATGCACTTTTACTTATCGAAAAAAGAATGGCTTACAGCATGAGCAGAGAAATAATAATAATAATAATAATTATACCTTTTTGTCATGTGCATTTTACTCCTTATTTTATTTTCTTATTATTAGGTCCATTGAGAATATTTGTGGGTTACTGCCTTATAATTAGCTCAAAATTCATTAGTACTTAATGGATTAAGATGACGCCTTTTGTCTTTGACGTATTAAGTACTTATATAATGTAAATATTTTTCTGCGTATGACGCTCCCATATATAATGATCACATCTAAAGAAAAAAGTTACGATTTATTGTCTCACCTCACACTTTTAACAAAAGATAATATTCTTATTAAGTAACATATTATATTATGTAACTTAATTTTGTAGTTAATCTATGACAAAAAAAGCATATACATATTATATATATATATATATTTGCACACTCACACACATCGTAGAGCCCTAAAAATTGACGTAGAAGCTTGTTTTTTCGCTTGAAGATGCAATAGCTACGGGAAAGAATCTTCTAATCGTAAGAGTTATATATATTTTTAGACAGTATCGGGATAATGCATTGTTCGAAGAGACGAGTAATATACTATCGTTAGAAACAAAAGAAAAGAAAAAAGGGAAAGAAAGGTCGTAGAATCGTAATTACGTGGTAATTAATTGGACATTTTTTGAACGATTTTGCTGTACGTACTTACGTATGTAACTGTCATAATTAATTAGTAATTAATTTGAGATCGATTCATCTACCAAAGGGGATATTATTATTACCTGATCATGCGTGCGCCAAAAGGATCGGACCACTTAATTTGTTAACATGCAGATCTAAACAAATTGATCCTTTTTTTTCAGCAAAAAAATATTTTTTTAAAAAAAAATTACTGGTAATATATAAACGTGAACAAAGTTAAGTGTATCGGATCGACATTGCTTAATTATCTTTTAGTGTTTGATTTGATTGACCTGCTTTTACGCCAGATTAATTTTGTTCACGTAATTTATTTTTGCTTGGAGTTTACGCGATCTGCTTGTTTCATGTAAGCTTTACTCAATTTTTATGCACGAATATAATCCTTTTGCCCATTTCTAGTAATTTTATTAGACCATAAATTATGAAGTAGCTAGTTCATTTTTTTTAGAACTCATGCAAATACATAAATATTAGTAGTTAATATTGTATATTCCTAGGCACCCATATATACATATATAAATAAATATACATATATGCATATGTATTTATTGAATGAGTTTTCAATGGTTACGTTTTTAACGTTGTTACCGTCAAATATAAAAATTTAATAGCATAACGTGATAAGAATTAAATTTCAGAGGTCATAATTTTATTTTAACTAACTATCTAATTTATTACCATCGTGGGATCAATATTATCCACCAATGAATAAATAATGGGGTAACCATTAAAACTTTACTTGGCCCAAACACACACACACACACATATATATATATATATATATATAAATTTATATATACTGTATGCATGCCTATATCTATTAAGTATTAGCAGATCATAATAGGAGAGAAGATATGGTTAATTTATTATATATTCTCTTTTTTTTAGCAAGATTATATATTATCTTTTTTCTCACTAAATATTACAAATCATTCGGGTATCTAATTGATCAATTGCATGTCTGATATTAAGTAATTTGTTTTATTTAGGGTGATACTGTGGTGGTGTTTATGCCCTTTCAAAAGTTCTTGATTAATTTTTCATTGACTACCAACCCAAAAGCTTTTCCTAATTAAACTTACTTTTTTTCTTTCTAAAACCTAAGTTAAGTTAATTATTTTATAATATGAAAAAATATACGTTTTTTGTTTTCTATAAGACATACACACACATATATACATTTATATATGTATATAGACGACACACACACAAATAGAGATTATAGTAATCTAAAAAAGAGAGTGCCATTTGGAGCTAATCAATCGCACGCAATGAAGTTCATGCTCTAATATTTAATGAAGTTGTTCAATTTTTATATATCTATTCTAGCTGTACTCACCCATAGAAAAGTTTTAAACCGCTTATAATAAGATTTTTAACTAATTAAGCTGTAATTATTTAATTAAATCAAGCATGTAGCTAGTGCAAGTTCCAAGGTGATCATATATCTTTATTATATTTAATAATTACGTGTAGAATATTTACGAACGTCGCGAATATCCAAAAATCAAAGTGAATGGACGTGCAATACGTTACTAGTATATATGCATTACTGTCAAATATTCGTGTATTTATTGATCAGTTGTACTGTAACTAATAAGAGATTGCTAATTGCCCATTTATATAGAAATACATATATATATATGGAGTAAAATTATTTTACCAAAATATCACGAATATATAAACAAATAAACTATAGCTAGGTATGAAATTTCCGTTTTCAGTTTAAAACATAAAAAACGTTATAGTTCGTATATACCGATCCTGTGCATAAATTATATGTCTAGGTTAATGGGGTCACTAAAATTAAGTGGAATATTATGACCGTCTAAAAATCACCGGCTGTAAATTCTATATATAAATGGAGAACGTGTGTATATATACCGGAGTAATCATGTACACATACACGATTAGGAAGAAAAAAAAATCATCTACACATACATAATTAGCACACGAAAAAATTATGTACGCATACGTATATATAAAATACTTAATAGTAGAAATTATTATTTTAACCATTATATTAGTTTGTCAAAAATCATATTAATTGTGAGTGTTTAATTATATAAAAAATTTAAATGACATAAAACATAACTATTCCTACTTATAAATTAGACTGTAAAATAGTTAAAACAACAATTTTTACCGAAAAAAATTTCAAATATATGCAGTGTGAATAATGTCTAGCATATAATACGATATGGAAATTATACATGCATGCAATGGGGTCTAGGTAAGTGCATACCACGTGCATGTGGTCCACTTATCCAAAAATGCATAGAACTGTGATGGTTTTTTTTTTTTTTTTTTTTTTTTTTTTTTTTTTTTTTTTTTTGCTTAATAAGATCCGTTTATGATTAACAACCCCCTTTTTTTCCATTACACTTTTCCTACCTTTTTTTTTTTTTTTTGGGATAATCTCTTGGCTACTTTTCTCTTCTGGCCCGACCTTTTTCCGGCA